AATAATAATGTCTGATTATGTGTCTAATTTATAAATTTCTCTTTTGGAAACCCGCATTTCAGATTGCTGATGTGATGACTACTTAGTTAGTCAATCCGTCTATGTTTCAGTTAGTCAGATAGACGGATGGATAGATAGATAGAGAGACAGACAGACAGACGGAATGATGGATAAACAGACAGATTAACTCTTGTTATATGTTAACTTGTGTGTACTATGGGTGCATAGATGGATGGTGTTTGTGTGTGTGTGTGTGTGTTTATGTGTGCCGCGTGTATGTTTTGAGCAAGAAAGACTGGACTGAAGAACGAAAGCCACCGGACAAGATGAGCTGTTTTTTTTAAAAATCAATTTCTCTTTTTTTCTAGAGAAAAAATGATTATGAAACAAGGCATACAGGTAATCTGTCATCACCATCATCCAAATAATCGCCGTCAGCATAACAACAATAAGAAGAACATCACTAGTGATTAGTTATCTCACATTGTTTAAATGATCCCTCTCATTTTCATTTTGTCTGTCAGTTAGCCGCTGACCACTATGATGATGACCAGAGTGTTTTAAAGTATGATGTAATAATGATTGTGAAATAATCATTAATCCTGTTAACCATCATATTTAATCTCTACTGAAACTATTTTAAAAAAATAACAGTGACCAGTAAATAACTTTAGAGTACCAAGTGTTCTTTTATTGATGCGTGTGTTTTCATTGGTGCTTGTAGGCCAAAAAAAAGTGTCATCACAAGGAAAATGAATAAGTAGCAGTAGACATCAGTGGCTTGTTCGATTCTTGTTGTCACCTGGACGGTTTTCTTTTATCTCATACTGAATAATTATGTATTGTATAGGCGTCGGTGGCACAGCGGTAGAATGCTCACCGACCACGCCTCATGTGGTCCGGGGTTCGATCCCCGGCCTACTGACGCACTCCTTTACCTCGCCACTCCAGTAATAAAAAAGCTGGTAAAGAGGAAAGGTTGGGCATGAGGCTAGCAACCCCATCCTGTAAAAATAAACACCACCGCTACTTAAACTTCAAGCCTCTAGCTTGAATCCTGCTGTTATATGCCACCAACCAAACTCGTAGTTTGCAATTGACACAGTTCAAGGAGGTAAAATTTCAAAACAGTTTCCTCTGGAAACCTAGACTATTCAGATCAAATTATATGATCTGAATGATATCATAAATAGGAATTAGGGAAGCAAGCATAGCTGCATGAAGCTACATAATATTGATTGATTGACAAGAGTAGTTGAATGCCACTCACATCGGCTCACTAGTCAACTCAAAGTGATCAAAACGCCAGGCGGCCATTTCTGCCATTTAGGACGGAGCGAATTGTGAATTTGATTCAGCGTATTACCAGTTCGCTCAAGTAGCTAGCCAGAATTCCTATGATTTCAACTGATTCGGTGCCCTGATCTGAGTCAGATAGGGTCCACCGCAGATGAGCTTGGCCTTAAACGAGTGAAACACCTGTTCAGTGTTTAGACCACTCCCATCTGGCTGGCTGATATGCATTGCAGGTTGATGTGAGTCACAACCAACTACTCATACTAGTTAATCAATAATATGTAACATCGTGCAGATATGTGCCACAAAACAAATAAGATCAAGTTGACCTTACAGAATCATAGAAGCACACATACTGGAAGCTGATATTCCCACAAAGAAAAAACGCTTCAATACAGTCAAATCAATAAAAGATAGGTTACAGGATTTCATCATGAGCTGAAATTAGTTAGAGAACCATTGGAAAACCTGCAGGGAGTACTGCACAGCTGTTTCGTCCTAGTCTGGGGCTTTTCGGAAGTACACATCTATCGAGGTTCGAACCCACGACCTTCTGGTTACAAGGCGAGCTCGTAGACCATTAAGCCACTGGGACCCGATCCAATGGCCAGTCCATGAATTCTAACTTCTGCTAATTCACGATATAGCGCAACCGCTAACCAATATCTTCGGCGAGTATTTGTCCTCACACCCAACCTGCTGCACCCTACTGGTCATGACTTCCCACTAGAACCCCAAGCAACTACCTACCTGAATAGGGCCAGTCGTCAGTGAGCATCTCATTGATATTCAAGTATTGGTTTGTAGGGATTTGGTTGATTGGTTACAGGATTTCATCATGAATATCAATAAAAGATAAATTCAAGATATTCAGTAGACAAAAGTAGACAGTACCTTCAATTACTCGTGTTACTTGAAAACCAATCAATAAATTCTGTGGATTTACATTTTTCTGTAATTTAACATGGGATTATGCAAGTGACCTTAAAAACAGAATTTAAGCTTGTAAATGAGGCATATTACGATAGTACTAAATGTGCGCGAAAAATTGGAATGTACAAAGACAATACACTTCGAAGATTTGCAGCTGTTGACTCTCGTCAGGAATCTACATCTAGGTTGATACTCTGTAGCACTGAGCACACATGATCTTATCAGAGGTTGGAGGTAAGATTTTCAGATAAAAGTGGAGCACATTCAGTATTTAACTAATGGGATGAAATCAAATGGCTGGAGAAACATTTCTGCTATCAGTCAACAATATAACTCCATCACCAATCTCAATAGCATCAGAAAGTATCAGTTCTCATACACAACTTGATGGTGGAGCTACCAGTCGTGACTTCTCATAAGAACTCCAGGAGATTCATTTTACACTTCGTCGGTAATGCATACTACACTAATACGGGTATGATAAGTAACATTTAGAACTAAAGTCTAAAAAATGTGCTTACTCACTGATTAGTAGTGGCTCTGTTTCGCGAATCAATAAAAGCTAAAATTCGTGAGCTGCTAACTTGTACACTAAGTGAAATGTAAGTCACAGGTTTCATTTCCGATTGGATCATGGATGTGTACTGATGAAGAAGCGCTAAGTGGTACAAAACAGTAACTCAGTGTTCCTTAGTTTTCAGGCTCACAAGATATACGTTACTATTTAGCCATCCATTCAAAATCCAATTAATTACCATCTTAAATTTTATATCGTTCTGCATTGTAAACACTTGAGTCTTGTCTGTTTGCGTTAGAGAATAAGACTTTTAATGCAATCAGATAAGAGGTATTATATTTTAACTCAATTTGCACTTGCTAGATGGTCTCAGGCAGTCGGTAAGAAGTCCTAGATATGGGTTTCGAGTTCGTAAGGATTCACCAGTCAGCAAGCATATCTGTAGTCTTGAAGAAACTCGTTCCCTTCTGAGGCTTGAACTCGGGTCATCCACTGCTGCTGATTGGCCATTGAGGAGTGCTTAGTGTCATACATCTAGTCCTTCGTTTCGATTCAGACTGAATTCTGTCAGCCAATTTTGCAACGTGTCTACCATGCTAAGTGGCTCACCATCACGGTGCATTAAACGACTGGAGTGTTCAATCTCCGTTGACATGTCACCTCTCAATATGAACACTTCAATAATGTTGTTATTCTTGTTGATAGTGACTTGCAGTGGAATCAAGGATGTATGTTTCGTCCTGTTTAAAACTCATCAACTAGATGTACCTGCGTCGTGACTGAGGTGACTGTTGTGGCCGAAGAGGTTTAGTGGATAACGCTCTAGTATTTGAAACGATGTATAAAGAGTTTCAGTCGCAGTGGAAATACCACCACCCATCGAATTTGCAAGTACATCAACCAAAAATAAGTAGTATCACCAACCGCTGATGACGTCAACAGAGTCTGAATTTTAAAATGATTCCACAATAACAACAAAATTTATCTGAAAGACAAAAAGAATAATAATAACGATGAAAAGAAAAATCGTCTCAGTAAAAAAATAAAACAACTTAACAAACACAACAAACAAAACGAATTGAATAAAAATCGATTATAAAACTGCCTTGACTCTATTCAAACTCTCAAAAACTTTTCGAATTTTCCATGGGTAGTTAGTAAAATAACCGAAATAATAATAAATTAGGGTGAAGAAAACAAATCCTGTTTTTTGTGTGTGTATGTGCATGTGTTGTTATTGGATTCACACACACACACACACACACACCAAAATCTGTTATCTTATCTCCTTTATTTCTAAGATCTATAGATTTATAGACATGTTTATTTCCTGTGTGATTAATGTATGCGTACCCTATGCATTGTCTGTGTGTATCTATCTATGAATAGAGATAGATAGATAGATAGTTAGATAGGTTTCAGTTCAAAATTCGTTTAGAAGAGCGAACCAATGAGAATGTCTTTTTCCATCATGTATATGACCGAAATAGACATTTTCTATTGGTTATAGAGTACCTATCTACTGAAAACACCATCATCTATCGATAGGTATACACAGTATTATACGCAGATAGTAGTTATCTTTATCTACTGACATACCTACCTATCTACCTACCACCTATGATTTGACGGATCGAATCAAATTAATTCTATAACGGAGAAATGTTTGCGATGCGAGCTTATGCTTATGCTTATACGTGTACAACTAAGAGACATATAAACACGAATATAAGGGTACATAGTAAAACGTCTCCCCCCTTTCAGTGTGTATGTTTGTGTGTGTATATATACATACATATAAATACGACTACTCTCCATTATACCTACTTTTCCTTCTGTTTTTATCAGTTCGAAAAAGAATTTCTAGTTAGTTAGTTGTCGTGTTTTTTCTTCAAAGGAGAAAGGAAGAAATTAAAATAAAACAGATTACATTGTATAAATTAGAAGGACTCGAAATCTCATTATGCAACTGTGTGATTAAATCGTTTATAAACATTGACTGTAATTCATTTTTTTTGGGTGGTATTCAACTGTCACAGAATTATCAAGCGTTGAAAAATAAAAAAAAACAATTTCAATTATTTCACATTTGTAAATTATTTATTTATTCCACGTGAATGTATATATTTTTAAAAATTTGTTTTACTTATTAACAAATATACATATATAACATTATTGTATGGTTTAAAACAAACAGTCGATTTAAATTGGACATTGTACTTTCATCGAAGTTATTCCAAAGGAATTATTACTGTTATTATTATTATTACTATCTGATCAAGTAGATTTATCCAGTTACACATTAAAATAATACGATCAAAAATGAATATTACAGATATGCAATCGTCGAAATCAGAATGGAATAATGATTGTACAGTAAGTGAATATTACTATTATTATTATTATTACGTAATGTTGGTATTTGTCCCTTTGATTTATTTCACTTGTAAATGTTTCATTGTTAAACTTAGTTGTCTTGATACCTAACGACTAGGAATTCGATCACTAGATGTGATCAGTGAAGAAATAGTCAAAGGAACTTTCAGTGGAGTTCTCAATTAATATCAGCCAGTAACGAAGTCCAGTTTTAAATCCGGTCATGAGCTTTTGTATGAATGTATGTATTACTGACCACAGATTTATTGTTTTATTACCTTATTCCTTCATGTTCCAAGTGGAACATGAAGCTTCAAGCTTGAGCTCTGAAGTTTTCGTAGCGCTGTGGTTTTATTTTTACTGGATGATAGCCTGATGCCCACCCCACCGCACCCGCGTTATCGGCTTTACTATCGGGTTAGTAAGGTTGTGGGAGTGCATCCGCTGGGGGATCGAACCCCGGATCACTTTCGTGGTTGGCGAACATTCTACCGCCGAACCACAGATAGACTGTACCAACTTAGTAACTAGAATCACTACATAGCAATTCAGTTGATGTATAGATACAAGTAATCATAAGTGGAAAGAGTGAAATATATAGGGTTGAATTATTATTGTCTCTTTTCAAAAAATGACAGTCATCAGTGTACACCAAAGAAGATTCTTAGATTTAACTGAAGTACTTGTCTCAGTTCCCATTAGTTCTCCCTGGTATTCTACTATGATGTCAAGCTATGAATGAAACAAACTATCAGATTAATTAACTACATTATAGCCAGATAAAACACTCTGTTAATGGAAGTGTTTAGTTAGTGGTTAACTATCAAGCTCATTCAGTCATCTGTGTTGCAGTGTTTGATTGAAACATCTTTCTCTGGGGATAAGGTGGACACTAGATCTCCACTCTCTGACCACTTGATATTAAATTATGAATTTTCTGGTTTATTAATTTCACTTATTGTCTATATTAATTTTGGACTTTAACTTTTTTTTCTTCACGTTCCCCAGTGGAACATAGAGCTTCAAGCTAGTGGCTTGAAGTTTCTGTAGCAGTGTTTATTTTTATAGGATGGGGTTGCTAGCCTCATGCCCAACCTTTCCTCTTCACCAGCATTATTTCTGGCTTAGCGAGGTAAAGGAGTGCGTCAGCCGGGGATCGAACCCCGGACCATTTGCATGGTCGGCGAGCGTCCCAACCGACGCACATTGTCTGTATTAGTTTTGGATTTTAAAGGAGTGTCTGAAGAAGAATCAGTACTCCATGTAGTCTCGCATTTCTGGGTTCAGTTCATATTGTGACGTTAAAGGGGCACACTGCTGATCACTTCTAATGTTAGATGAAATATCTATCCGATACTCACCTTTTTTGTAGTTTCTAGTGAAACCTACCCTCTAACCCTTCAAAATTCCTACAAAACTAACATATTATTATTACTTAAACACTTGCTAGCTTAATATAACGAGTAATTTATTTGAAACTGACCTCTGAACTTAGGAATACCTGAGTAAAACTTACATAATTCTAGTTGTTTAATTGTTATTAAGGAATCATTTATATTTTGTATAGATGACAGTGAATAGATTCCTTTATGAATTATTGGAAATGGGCTGGTAGTTTGACTTCCAGTCAATCATTATTCACCACATCAATATCACATCAGTCTGTTAATCCATGACTATCTGAGATAATCTTACCAACTTAGATTTAAATTTTCTATAGTTGGTTTTTGTAAGGGTTAGTTTTGTTTTTACGAGTTGATCACGGATTGATATCAGTTAGAGAACCATTGAAAACCAGCACTGGAGTACTGGACAGCTGTTTCATCCTAGTTTGGGAATCATCGGCAGTACGCACCCATCAAAGTTCGAACCCAGGACCTTCCGGTTACAAGGCAAGCTGGCTCGTATACCATTCAGCCACTGGGACCCGATTCAATGGCCGGCCCATGAATTTAAATGTTTATTATAATGACATCCCAAATGGAAGTGAACTTCCATATAAACTAAGGTGTTTGTTTCTCATTCCTTTACGTTCCGAAATGGAACATACAGCTTCAAGCTTGATCTTTGAAGTCTCAGTGACGCTGGTTTGTTTTTTCAGGCTGAGGTGACTAGCCTCAAGCTTAAACTTCTAACTTTTACCAAGCTTACTACTGGCTAAGCAAGGTTTAGGAGTACGTTGACCGGGAATCGAAACCAGCGTTACTTATAGAATAACCTTAAACAAAGTAATGGGTACTGTTATGAAAATATTCTTTATCTGACATAATGTACAATAGATGGTACGGTATTATTATTCTTATTGTTGTTGATTAATAACATTTCCAGTAAACAGTTTGCTGCTTATATCCATACGAAGGTAATTTCTAGTTAATTTAACCCACTGAAATTTCAGTTAAGGAAAGGAGAGCTTTGGATTTCCTCTAGTGAGTTTTACTTTAGTGTGTTTTATTTTAGCAATTCAACCAACTAGTAACAGTAGTGCACATTTCCGCGGACTAAGTAACCATCTCATTGTAGATTTCGTCAAGAACTAATGTCAGTTTAGAGATCATTAAAAACCAGTAGGCACTGGACAGTTGTTTCGTCTTGGTTAGGGACTCACCAACAGTGTGCAACTAAGACCCCCCCCCAGAGATCGAACCCAAAACCATCAGATTACAAGGTTAAGCTTGTTGACTATTAAACCGCTCTAGCTGGAATTCAGCGATCGTGGAATTCTAATTTTCAATCAGTTTGCAATATAACTCCAGCGTCAGCCAACACCGTCTATGAGCATATACACTTTATTTGATATGTTGGCAGTAGCGCTGGGTCATTGGATTCCGGCTCAAGTGACTGAGTGGTTGACGAGCTTGACCAGATTTTATCCTTTTTAGGGTCATAGGCACGTGCTACTGAAGAACCCCAAACTAGAACAAAACAACTACTCGGTACTCCCCGATTCTGGATGATTGTCTAATTGGGTTTGGTTCATGATGAAATCTACACTGAAATTAATTCAAATCCCTACAAAACTCACAATCTAAGGACATAATTTTTACTTATATTCAAGAAAATAAGGGTCTGTCTGTCTGTCTGTTTTCGACATAGAGCTTTGCACCGATGTGCAGCAGTTCAAGTCGCTACACTCCATGTAGCACACAAAGCAAGAGAAGAAAGTAGAAGAAATGCATAATAGAGACAGTAGACAGGGATATGAGACAAAGTAATAGTAATAGTGAAGAACAATATAGTTTCATTGGAAATTATAAGTCACAAGGAGTGGATGCATCTGCGCGCCATTGAGAACGATCACTTTGAGCCATATCACCGATCGTTTCCAGCCATTGGTTTTTACCGTCCCGAGGACCCCAACCAGGAAGTCTGCACCTCCCTACGTGGCTGGCTTAAACTAACTGTTGTGGATTTCATTGACTGGTGCCATGTTAGATGGCTAGAGGCAATCGGTAGAAAGCCACCAAGGTAGATTTCGTGATTATCAGCACTGGTCAGAAAGGCGTACAAGTATTCTTGAAGGAAGTAATATTCCTCCACGTTGACTTAATCTTAAGTCATGCTGACGCTACACTCACAAGGGTTGTGACAGAACCAGTAGTGCTCATCTCCTATAGGAAACTGATAATAATATTGACTGATCACCAGACAGTATACCATTGTCAATGTGTCTGATCCTTTGTGTTCGTGCTAATCGGAACTATCATTTGATTTGCATTGGGGTTATCACAGTATAGGAGACTTGCCATCATGGTGAACTTCTTGAATAAGTTTTAGATGTTTCTTTTTACTCTTGTGAACCTTTTCATCAAGTGACTTCCTTTTTCCACTTCTATAATTCGTAATACTATGATGATATCTATGGTGAAGACTAACTGTTTAGTTATCTGTTCACATTTCAGTGTAGATGTTGTCACGAACCGACATCAGTTAGAGAATCATTGAAAACTATGAATTTGTTTGGTTCTAGTATGAGATTCTTCAGTGATTCTGACGGCTGAAGTAGGCGCGTCAAAAAACCTACACTGAAACTAATCGAAATCCCCTTAAATCTGAATATTCTGAATATTTATTGATGATTATAATGGTTATTAGCACGAGACAGAATTTTGTTAAAAATGTACATAAAATTTAATAACATTACTTATTAACTAAAGTACTTTATTATCGTTATTTGATGGAATTATTATTATTACGCGATTATTTAGGCCATCCTGTAAAAATAAACACTGCTACAGAAACTTCAAGCTCTAGCTTGAAGCCCTATGTTCCACTGGGAATGTGAAGGAATAAAAAAAAATTTAGCATACAAAATTAGCCTAATATTAGCACGAAGAGATGTCATCCAAAATATTTTTGAGAGGGAAATAACATATTTAGGTGTTGGACTGTGGGGGAGGCGGTGGAGTTAATTGGTTCTAAGTTAGATCTCATCTTCTGCGTCAGTGGTTCAGTGGCAGGTGGTCCGAGGTTCGACTTTGGGCTGACTCACTCTTAGACCTCGCCTATGGTAAGTCTGGGAAAGAGGAAGGGTTAGGCGTGAGGTTAGCAAGCCCTTCTTGCAAAAAAGGAAAAACTACCTCTACTGAAACTTCAAAGCTGAAGTTTGAAGTCGTATGTTCCATTCGGAAAGTAAAGAAATAAAGGAAGAAGAACCAACGTTAGTTAGTTAGTTAGTTAGTTGGTTAGTTAGTTAGTTAGTTAGTTAGCTAGTTAGTTAGTTAGTTAGTTAGTTAGTTAGTTAGCTAGCTAGTTAGTTAGTTAGTTAGTTAGTTAGTTAGTTAGTTAGTTAGTTAGTTAGTTAGTTAGTTAGTTGGTTAGTTAGTTAGTTAGTTAGTTAGTTAGTTAGCTAGTTAGTTAGTTAGTTAGTTAGTTAGTTAGTTAGTTAGTTAGTTAGTTAGTTAGTTAGTTAGTTAGTTAGTTAGTTAGTTAGTTAGTTAGTTAGTTAGTTAGTTGGTTAGTTAGTTAGTTAGTTAGTTAGTTAGTTAGTTAGTTAGTTAGTT